TCCGTCTCCTCCAGCGACGACCAACTGTCTCCTGGAGCCAGTATGGAAGAGGTAGTGGGTAATAGACAGGTAGGCACCTTGTCAACATTCACATCAGGCGCATCCACACCGTGGAGCTCAAACGACGTCTACTTCACATCCGCCGCCTTCATACATACACACACAATACAGGTTGAGTCGATAGGAAGACAGTGGAAAACTGGGTAACTGCCTCCGATCGAGGTAAACGACGCTCGTGATCGAGAGAAGGGCTTGTATTGGCACCCGCTGCTCTCGTTGTAATTTGTCATAATCATCGTCCAATTGTCTTCTCATTCCTTGCTGACTAATTGCTGTTTTTCTGCTTAAAATAAACGCTTCACTTTGGTTTTTAAAACGTCCGGTTTGTATATGTCCTTCTAACTTGTTCAGCTAGGTAATTGCCAGACCTCTTTTCCACCGAACGGTCATCTCTTCTTTTGAGGCGCGTCCACTATGCGTGCTGTCTCCACGCGGTGTAAGCTTTGTGACCCCCTTGTGAAGCAACGATTTGCAATGCTCACACATGTCAGATACTGCTAACCATTATCGTTTGTTCACTGGTTAGGATCTGACATGATTCATGTACGCTATTGTTGTACGGTAGCATGACCAGAGCCCAATAAAGCACCTTGTGTATAGCCGCCACCCAGCTCATTCCCATAATATCACACTAGTCATTCATTGCTTTTTGTGTCGAGTTGTAATGGTTTTGACCAGATAAATACTTCTACCTCTTAACCAGATCATTTTGGTTAAGCTTTTTCAAGTGTATTCCGACATTTCTCCACGTTAGCTTTCACAATGAATCCGGGACATTCTGATCCATACTGTCGTTTGTCTTCTTATCAGGTGTGCCAAACAACCACTTGCTGTTTCATTGCTATGTGTAACCAACTCTCTCTTGTACCTCCTACCCCGCAGGGGACTTGGCCCTATCTCAGTCGTCGTGCTAAACTGGGCTACACCAAAGGCGTTTCGCAGGCCGGAATGCGGAATTGGAACACGGCTGGTGGTGCGGATAAACCTGTGACGGCACGTAACAAAAAAGCCGTTATTTTCGTGCCGTCCAAGCTCGATTCGTGTGGCTCCGTTGGACAACCCTCTGCTGGCTTGGCTGCTGTGAGTCTCTCTTGGTTACGATCCCATGGATGATTGGAACCAAATCTAGTTTATTTGCCACCATACGCAGTCCATTCTTGATGCGTTCTATCATCCTCTGCACTCTGTGGTGGTGGTAGTAGTAACCTCTGCTGACCGGAATATACGCGTACACATGTTCTTGACACCTAATCCACAATCATGCATCCGAACTTTTTAGTGGACAAAAGTTAGTACATTTGTCTGCTTATGTCTTTTGTGGCTCAATATCTGAGGTATTTTGCACCTCTAGCTAACGTGTATAATGATGATGTTGCTTACGGGGTATCTGTCCACTTGTTAGTCATTAGTAATGCGGATATCGCTTCCCAAGGACTATGGTATCCTTCGTGTGACGACTATTTCTTCGTTTCACTACCAGTTCACTACTTGCCTTCATCATCGGTATCGTTTGCGCTGCATCACTCTGTTGAAAAACTGGCGCTGTTGATATTGCATACTGTTACTTAATTGCTGCCCTGTGAAATAATCCACCGTCAGTAGATCTCAGTCTACCATAAGCAAACTGAAGCGGATCATATGAATGAGTTTGGGTCATCATCCTTTCAAGAATAATCTTCTCGAAGACCTTCAGCTTTACTTATCTGCAAGCAATTTGCCGGTATTTATCTGAGCCTTTCTTTGGCAGTGGTGTAATTCCAGCATTTCTCAAACAGTCGGCAATTTTACATTTTGGTATGCACTACTTGTACAGGCCAGCAAGTGACTTGGTCAAGGAATCGACACACCCTGAGAACAAGGGATGATCCGTCCGGGTCACTTGCTTTGCTGGAATTTAGCTTCAGCAGGTGAATAAGCACTGTATTCTTGTCAGTGGCAGATGAAGTGATCGTGTTACTGTCCACTCCGGAGGAGGAAGGATAAAAATGTAGTTAGCACTGGAACGACCACATTTTTGGTTCAAATCTTCAAGGTCTGCGTCTGTATTTGACTCCGGGTGAGAGACACCACTAATTTGTTTAAGCATCCGCCGGACCTCTCGGCAGCTATTGTTTCCTAGAATGGTCTGGACAAATGGATGGTTTAGACTGCGCAGCTCTAACTTGATACAAGTAGAAAGATACTTCACTGCAACATGGTATTTCTGTAGGAACGCTTTTTATTTGAGTCTACGCAGACGTTTTAGACACGGAAATGAGAACCGATCTGCACAGATATAAATCGTTTCCACTCTACAGCACGTATTAAAACAGAAGTTGAGATAGCTCATTAGCCGATCACAGTAGGTAGATAAATCGCTGTCAAGGCATATATTAAAGTCTGTAGATGTAATCATTTCTTGTAGTCGATATCTGTTTTGAAGTGAACATTGTCTCCTTTTAAGCTTACGATCTTTACAGCGTGTTAGCTCCATGTGATTTATTTTGCTGTAGACGATAGATGATCACTTGACCTTTGAGTGATCAGAGCTATCGATCGGCGCCTGATTGCACACGAAAAACAACTTCACATTTGTTGCAAATATCAGATCTAAGGTTGCTTCAAGTCTAGTTCGGGTGTTTACAACACTTTGTGACCCAAGGTCAGTGAGAAAAGTAGTGTCAAATCTGTTGTGATTGTCGGCAAAAATGCAGGGTGAATAAGCACTGTGGTCGATGATAGTTAAAGTGAACTGATCATACAATTCCTCTGTTTCAGAGATGGGTCAGCTAGGGGAAATGTGGATATTTGCCAGTAAAATCGATTGGCAGCCGGTTAAGCATTATTGGCTTACCTTTCAAAATTAAACCATTAATACGCGACGAACCGAAGATAAACATACATTTTAGTGACGTGCACCACGACGGATTGATTTAAGTAATAAGTCTTCCGCCACGGTTGCGGTATATAACTTTCCGGTCGGCACGATGCCAAATGAATCCCTCGATCGTTACGACAGTGTCGTCCGCATCCTTATAGAGCCAGGTCTCTTGAAGCATAATTACGCCTAGCTTTGCTTATTCACGAGAACAGCCTGTGGTTTTACTCTCATCCATTTTGCTCACACGTGATCGGATATTTGAGCTAAGTATGATGGGTATATCTTCATGCTTCGTAATGCTTTCTTTCATAGAGCAACCCTCCATCCAGCAAGATGCTTTTTAGTAGATTTGTTCTTTTTATTGATTCGCTTCAGTTTATTTCTTATGGCTTGACCAGGAAAATATGGGGTGTTCAGGGGAGTAGAAACACAGGGATTTGAAAATATCACGTGTGTAGGTTAACATGACTTTGATTATTGGATGGCTTGATGAAGAAAAACAACGCAGAGAGTTGCCGAATGAGTGAATTTAAGTAATTCCGCGAATGGAACAGGAAAGCACGACCATTTTTGTAGGCCCCGCCTGGTTGGAAGTAAATGTTATCTTCCTGATGGTTAATGATTTTATTTACCTCAGTTCTCCCTTCATTTTGTCATTTATGGATCCCGACAGGTTAACTTAGTTATTCGCTGTCTTTTCGATTTGAATTGTGATGTTTTTAGCCAGACATTTCCCTATCTCCTAAGCAGCTCACTTTATCCTTCATTTGCCACATTAATGCCGAAATCCTGTGTTGGAATTACCAAATATTGACCCGCTGTGATTAAGAGCGTTAAAAATTATGGGGCGAAATAACACCGTTGCAGTTGTATAGCTTATCTAAAATAAGTTGAAATGAGACGGAGTCATTTACTTGAGTGATCGACGGTTGATAGCATGGTGCTGAATTCAAGGACACTTCGTGTTTATGAGCTATCCCACTATATTTATTGCTCTTAGCAACTTATATGGTTTCACCGTTGATATGGTATTTAACACTTTCCCAATAAACATTTGGCAGAGTGCCACAACACATGAGTAACAATAACAAAAAGGGAGAGTGAGTAGGAGGAATGGAAGCAAAGTTCCATGTGTTGACCGTCCAGGAGTGCATTTATCGCTCATTCGGTTAGATTTTTGATCAATTTTCTCGCTTCTCTTCTCCGCCACCGTTTGTATTTCCAGCGGGTTCGCGCATTTCACCTACTTCACTCGAAGAACGGACTCCATCAATCCTGCGGCGCCTGATTATCGAACATCAGCTGTCGCTCCTTAGGACTGTTCGCTCGATTTCCCATCAACCACCTGTAGCATATCATAGTCACCCGTGGTCCATAACATGCTTTCATCGTCCATTGGCTGTTTGTGATACCGTGATACTAGTCACAGCGCAACACTGTGAACGCTGCCGTTGGTGGAGTACTGGCGATTCACCGTCTTCATGTGGAACCGAGCGTTTGAGGGCCACGTAGGCCTTCTGACAGACAGGGTTGTCGCTTCATTAGTTTAGGTGTCAAAAGAGCGTATAACTGTCTAACACACGATTCAATCAACTTATTCGAGTCACACTCCATTAATCACAAACTGTCACGTAAGGAACAAACTCTATCCTAGTGCGGTATTTTCACTTTGAAAGCAGAAACTCCAATTCGGGATTCTTGTTAGCATTTTCACTAGTACCGAGTTCAGCCACCTCATTTCTAGTCTTTTCCGAACTATCGCCTTTTTTGCAGTAATCATAGGTGTTCACTGTTCATTTCAATTGCAAAGTTAGGCGCGATAAGTGGAACTCAAGCTACCTCCAGTTGTTGCCATTTTGATTCACTACTCACTTATTGCTTAGTTCTCGGAGATTGGCGAACCGTGGCGGAGCCTTTCAATTGTTCGTATTCTTTTTCGCCGAATATTATTTTTTTCGCTATCTTCTGTGCACATATCACCTTTGTAGAAATATATTGGCAACTTCTCTGGCCAATTTATTTCCAAAAGCACTGAGACGGTCCTACTCTATCCAAATTTCTAATACAGAGGTCGAGATACTGTGCATGATTCGCGGTTTTGTTGCTTTTGCTCACCAAATTTTAGGCCAGTCGAAACCAGTTATGGAGAAATGTTTTAGTAAAACTCTGCTCTGTCCACTGGTTGCATATCCCAACAATTCTGTTCCGCACTGTGCGATGTGTCCTGGAAAGCGGGGCTGTTTTCTCAAGCGGTAACAGCGCACCCTTTTCCTTTATCCATTTGTAAAAGGTTGTATTTTTGGTGTCATCTTTGTTCATCTAGTAGATAATGTGTAATGCTGAAAATGCACCCATCCGGGTAGATAAAGTTTTCCTTTACTTGACTTAAATTGTATGCGACGTATTTTCATCCATCGAAGTATCCTTGTTAGTGTGCGCTGTAGACATGAACACAACAACCGTGGTAAGTCGTCACTATGAATTGCGCTGATCGAGAGTGAAACCTTGGGTAATGCGTTCTTCGCCAGCGCGAGGATCATTCCGGCTTTCCGTGTTCGCTGTCCCATTGATCAGTTTGTCCAGAAGCATGCTCCTTTTGATCACTTTAGGAGCAATACCAGTGACGCTTATTATTCGATACTTTTCACTAGCGCTTCTGACCTATTGAGTTGACTACTGTTAACCTGAAGGCACCCCTTCCGTTAAGTGTACTGCGTCAAGATGAAGCGCTAGACCATAAACGAGCTGGTTATCTCATTCGGTGCTGCTTGAAGGGAGCCATAAGGAAGCGGCGTTCTACTTCGCTTTTGGGGCTCCAGTACGTACCGAATTTTCAATTTTATTAGTGTGACGGTTAGCGCGCATGCGATTTTAGGGTGGCCAGCAAATGACACAGATATAGCAAGCAGCGCCATGACTGGATAAGTTGAAAACGGGACCAGCCGCCATATCTGCACGACCGTTTGGCTTATTCGGACTTTGGATTACGTAGGGTAACACCTGGATCTCCAGAACTACTGACTTTTTTCGTTCTGCGGACTTCTGCGCTAAACCTTGTCATCAATTGGGTCTATAATTCTCACTTGATTTAAAACGTCATTATGCGCGCCCCATAAGTCCATTGAACAGCTGGTTTCAATTGGATCTTTTGATCGTTTTTGTATGAGATACGAACGGTTACTTGGTTCATCTACGTTGCTCTCTACGCCTCGTTTTTTATTTTGGCTCAGTATTCCTGCTTTCTCTATTGTGAGTTTATGTGATGCATAAGTAATCCCGAAACTAGAGAACGTGTGCCATGTGCATTCATATTGAAGCCAAAATCTCCGCACGTGTAACAGCGACTGATACCCGCGTAACCAGTAGTTATCGTCATTGTAGATAGTCGCCCGCGTATCGCCCGACCACTCAAGACGTTGGTCGTATCACTAGACGCTTAGCCGAAAGGGTGAAGGGACACCATCCGACTTCGCTCGGAAATGGAAGTCGAAAGGCCACCAACTCTGCCATCGCTGCGCATTTTGCGGCCACTCGTCACGCCACCAAGTCGGCTGATTCCTTCAAAGTAATCTATCAAGCCCCAGGAAATCAATCAGCGTATTTCCGTAAGTGGATATTAGACGCCGCAGAAGCCATCACCATTCGGTTGTACGAACCAAGGCTGTGCACGCAGAAAAGATTCACTCACCCGTTGAGTCTACCTTGGTCAGGTCGGATTACAGTTGACCCGTGCGCGTGTGACTACAGCGGAGACATGACCGTCGGCGCTTATTATCGAAAACTAGACTCAGTTGGCAGATTGACGACCCGTTTGGTCTGTGTACAAATTTTGATCCCCATGTAATTGTACAAGCCTGATGATGAATTGCCAAACGCATGATCGCTTTTGATCAGGTAATGCGTTTTTCCAACTCTTTTTGCTGTTTTACCCATAACTATCAGCACAGAATTGGTACAGCTGTAAACAACTTCCTCGGCGATTTTGTGTTCCGCTAAGCCACCTACCTAGGCACTCTTATTACGGATAGTGGTCGCAGTATCCATTCATCCGACTAATAACTCTCACAGGGCCTACTCTTCTTGGGACTTCTTTGCTTTCTTCGAAGCTGTTCATGGTGGGGGCGTACTGAAAACTTAAGATAGGGCATATGTTCCCTAGCTACTGATGCTGGTTGGAATCAGTACTATGCCGTGAAGTTAGTTATGTGCGCCAATTGTTCGCCATCATGAGATTTCCGATTGCTAGATGGGCTTCTGAGGCCTTGATTTGTTGGAGTATATCACAGAAGGCGGTCCAATCAGTCATCTTCAACTGCCACGCATAACTAAGACAGCGTCAGGCTTCGGCCCACAGCGTTGATCGCTGGTGCTATTCGGAAATGGCTGCTCGTAATGACGCAGAAGTCAGGTCTGTTTGGAAGAATCTAAATTTCTTTTGATTCCTCCGTAAGGTCTCCGTTTGAGGGACTCTACTGGAGAATACAACGATCACTCTATTCTAAACCTTGCCGGTCGGAATTATGGGCAGAATGTTTCGGAGAATCAGCCCCCGTCTTCTCTTGAATCACCCGAACTTACTTAGAATGTAAGCGTCTCGCCTCCTACTTTCGAGGGTATCTGATTTAGAAGATACGATTGAAACTAATCAATGCTCCCGGACGCGACGACCTCTCCACCGTTGTTATAAAGTGGTCGCGCGATGCGTTTGTTTGTCCGGCTGGTTTATTCGACAGCATATAGTACGTTGAAGCGATGCCTTCAGTGGTTGTTTCCGTCATCAAAAGTCCAAACACATTTTGCACAGATAATCGTAGCGCTGATACATTTACCATTTCTCAAGATTCTCATGTATGTTGCACTGCGAAAACTCACTCGCATTCTGGAAATTAGAAGCCAATAGAGCTGATCGGGACTTAGTCCCAGCATTTGGCTCGTTCACCATGCATTAGCACCGAAAGATGCTAAAGAAGCCCGATACATTTAAGCCACCTACCTTGATCTTCCTCCTCCAATCAAATACCTTGTGTATTCCAGCTGATGTCTTTGTCACTCTGCTTTTGTAGGGTGCACCGTAAAGTTCCTCTGTTCCCAAATCTCGTTACTGCAAATGCTGGAAAGTATTTAAGTCTGCCACAACAAGTGGAACTCATCATGGCTACCTCAGCTTTTCTTTTCGTTCATATTTGCGATGAATAAGACCACGAATAACCCTTTCTTTTCCCATTGTCTTAGTTACGGGTTCTACCCGATGACCAAGTGACACAAATTACACCGATGACATGGTGACTTTTTGGGTCGAGGCCAACTTCCTTATAAGCCCCTCTTGGTAGACTGTCACAAAACACTACCTGCTTCGGTGTAGGCCTAGTACCTTCGAAGCACAGAGCTCTACATCAGAACTGAGCGGAAATGCTGCTTTATTCCACAGTCATCGAACAGTCAGCTGAAGTGGTCTGTCAGTCCGTACTGATTGTAAAGCCATGTGATTCCTCCTCTCTTCGGTCGCCTTTAGGGACGCCTTAATATTGTCTTATCGACCGAATGCAATGTACTCGGCGCTACCTGCATTGCCGTTCGGATGGGTTAACGAGTGATATATGAAGTTTTGCCACATTCGGTGCTGCTAAGATAATATGCCTATCACTAAAAAGTGCGAGACAGTCCAGTTAACCTGGTCCGATCATTATGTACAGGTTCCATTCCGAACTGTTAGTTTAAAGTGGTTGTTTATCAATTACACAGAATTTCGGTTCAATTGGTTCCCAGGGGATCACCTGTTTGATGCCGCTGTCTCGATCACCGGTTTCAGGAAACCACTGCTCGCCATTAAGAGACGGTGCTATCCACCATAAGTGGTTCCATTTTTAAACGGGTTACAGCACATGCACCCATTGCACATATGTGACACTCAATTTTACGCCTATTGTATGAGTGCTAGCCGACTCCAAAACAATCAGCCTGCTGACCGTCGTTTTGTCTGACTTAATGCTCATCGTTCTCGGATTAGCTTTCGGCTCTATTATCTTACATGTTTCGCGCACTTTTCCGTTACTGCACGTTTGTACTGTAAGAACATTTGAAATTGCTCGACTTGAGCACGAACTTATTATAGGTCAGAACGCTCCCTCCGTGCACACTCTCCCCTAAACCCCTTTTCATCCGCACAGGTTATCATTTATTTTCGTCCCAATTTCTCTGTTACAGATTAGGGGGAGTGGACCCAGAGTTCCCACTCCACCTTGGCTCGCAGCCGATGACGAAGTGGAAGAAGATGCTTCTACCATCACTGGCAGTTCTTCCAGCCCTTGCCGTAGTAAGGGGTGTGAAAGCAATCATCCGGGACTCGGTTACTTTGCGCCTGAGTTGTGTGAAATATCACCTATGAATGAAGTAAGTATGGAGCTGACTGTTCATTGCATCCATCGCGAAAAACTCACTGGTCGGTTATTATCCGCTTACTTGCTTTCTCTTGTTACTCTGTTTCCGCAGACTAACCTGGGCCATCGATTGCTTCAGAGGCTAGGATGGGAGCCAGGTCAAGGTTTGGGTGCAAATAATCACGGTTTGCTGGATCCTGTCGGCTGTGTCCCTCATTCCAGCTCGCCTTCGTTCCTGTATCCCGTAGCGTCTACCTGAGCCTCACCCCCACGCAGTTGCGATGTCCTGTATACGCTTGTGCACTGACACATCGGATAACTCCTCTTACGCTTCTCCCCTTCGAGAATTTCGAGCGCAACCGGCTGTACATTATATACTCTTGTTATCAACTCTCGAAAATGTCCGAAGTACAATACTAACGATACTAGGTATACCTCTTGAGCGATATGGAGAGCTCAAGCTTGTACCTATCTTTCACTTCCATGAATCGCACGAAACCTTTTTGCCCTTTCATCACCTCCGCACCCATATGTTCTTCCAGTTATTCCTTTAATAGTGACGTAAGCGCAGCTGAATTTGAGAAGCGTCTGCCTCTGTGCGGTCGATCAGACGATCGATCGCGTAGGCCAGTGAGTATTTAAAAACACAGCTAGTTATACTTTTTTCTTATACTTGTGGATAGAACGTTAGTGTGCCCAACTGTGTACGTACTTTCCCTTGGCGCGGTTGGGAGTGGCAGAGGAAAGAAGAACCGTTTTACAACAGTGGCGACAGGTGTCAGAAAAACCCAAATATGTCAGACAGTTTTGAACAATTGCAGGCACTTTTGCAGCAGTCGCAGTTTGAAAAGTCACAGAGGCAATTGGTCGAACCGCTATCTTAAAAATTAAGCATCCCAGTTGAATGGAAACTGAAGCTGCCATCGCAAGAATTTGTTTCAGAATGCCAGACGTTGCTCAACTTAATTTCTAGACAAAATGTGGTCGCAAATTCGGAAACAACAGAAGAGCAACACTACTGCCACTTCGAAATCTGATGTGCCCATCAGACCTGAAGATGCGACGGTAGCAATCAAGGACAGTCAGACTACGCAGATGAATCAAAGTCACGAACCAATACTCCAATCTGGTTCAGAATGTTGCAGAATCATTAGTGCTGCCCTGAAACTCAAGGCAATCACTAAACCAGTATCCAGAGCAAAGCGTCTTGTGCCAAGCAGGAACAATAAGCATTGCAGTTATCATGCGGGGGAAAAGCGGAAGACAACATGCTCCATTTCAACATTAGGAACATGGTGTACGCACGAGACTTCCGAGGACCGAGCAGGTGGTCGACAGGAAGAGTAATCCATAGAAATGGTCGGGTCATTTACGAGTTAATGGTAGGAAATGAGAAATGGGTCAAGCACGCTAATCAGCCAAGGCCGAATCAGGGCAAGTCTCAAAGTCTCTCAGCACCGCCATCCCTACCATGGGACATACTGTTAGACACCTTTGGCTTGGAAACCGAAGCTGAGCGGCTATGTGGATCACAACATAAGATGCAAGCAGCAGATGACGCGCAGTGCAGGCCGACCCGAAAGCGGAGACGACCACCATGGCTACAGGTTGATCCCCAAAGCGGAACACAGCCGGTCGCTCGGGCGCCACATGACCTGTCATGAAGGCCAAGTCGAGGGCGAAGGTAACCGCTATGGTTACAGGAGAACCCCAGGGTAAAAGTCTACGATTAAGCCCAAGTGCGGAACATACGCAGGAGCAATCAATTTGAAGGGAGAGGTAATAGAGACGTGAGCGCAGCTGAATTTGACAAGCGTCTATCTCTGTGCGGTCGATCAGACGATCGATCGCGTAGGTCAGTGAGTATTTAAAAACAGCTAGTTGTACTTTTTTTTCTTATACTTGTGAATAGAACGTTTATGTGCGGAGCGGTGTACGTACTTTCCCTTGGCGCGGTTGGGAGTAGCAGAGGGCAGAGGAAAGAAGAAGCCATTACAACACCTTTTACCACCACCAGCACCACGCACTACTAATCAAAGGAGGTGGTTATACATGCTACCGCTGTCAGACTTCCAGTCACAACTGCTTGTTTCCACTTTCGTTTTTCTCTTTCGTACTCCATCCTTCTTCCCTCTCGTTTTTTTTTGCAAAATAACTGCAGCGAGCCGGAGCATTTCTACTTGACATGCAAATGCTTCTGAATTGAGCCTAACTACAGAAAATATTGCCAAATGTTCCACGGTTGAGTAGCTGCCATTTTGAAGCACTCCTTATGTGAATGATTTGCGGCACGTAATCCTAACCGAGGTCGCAGTTCACCTGGTTTTGAATCTGAATCATCTGATTGTTCCCCGCTCGCAATCTTGCCCTCTGTCGATTGCGCGTCCAGGAGTCTAAACAAAGTCTGAGCAACTATCGAATTTTCATTTGTAAAGCAAGTCACCATTTATACTGTGCCTAAGTTTGGGTGCCATTTGGTTACTTTTCGCGTCTTTCGCGGTTTGTCTTTGTTCATAGGTCCGTACGTTCTGCTCGCTTCAATCGACTTCTCCCCCTCCACCTCGAGTTATACTTGGATGCGTCGCCTCTCCTTAGTCTCTCTGGCTAGCGCACACGCTTCGTCCACCCACGGCTGTTCCAGCCAATCCGCTTCGCCTCTGTTCGTGACGAAGCTGTGCTTTTTTCCTTCTAAATTGAGCCGATCCTGATTCCTCTGGTTCTCGCACGCTTGATCAGTTTGCGTTGACAGCGACTGCTTGGCCTCCGCTTTACATACCACCAATTTGACAGCTTCGCTTAATCGATCAGTTGCTACCACATCTTTCCTCGCTTCGTTTTTGGTGGGCCGACATTATCATGGGTTCCGTATACTTTATCACTGCGTGTGAACATCAACTCTTGTGCTGCAGTGACAAACATCTAGTTCCCCTGATGCTTTTGTTTCTCATATTGCGTTCTACGTTCCTTCTTCCAAGTTGCAGTCGATTCTCTTGAATAATGTTCACCTTGACCCGGACTTCATAACTTTCTTTCCCTTTTCGGCTTTCAATCTCTTCGCTTTCCCAACGCCTATCAACTGCAAGTATTGGTTGCAACCATACTTCGTCTCCCAAAGTGAGAGGCATCTCAATCCACTATCATGATAACGCTTTTTCCTCAACATTCTGTCCCTTAGACAGTCTTGTGCAATATTGGCTGATTGTATTTCGTATCGCAGTTGAATTCTGGCTGCTGACAGCAAGGTCCTTGTTCTGCGACTGAACAAACCCTGAACTTGACTTTTTTTGATCTCAATAGATAACACGTTTTTTGTTTCCACTAACCTAAAGTAGGAATCCTCATACTTCTCCTTGGTTTTGGTAAGTAGTTACCTTGTCTCCTTTACTGCGGACTCAACCTTTTTGTTCGTTTGGCTATTGTATAGACTGGTGGGCCGGTGAAGAAAATCCCATTTCTCACTAAATGTGCGAGATTCTGCACTCACTTATCCGAGATCGCCTCTGGTATACCATGTCCAGCGAATTGACACCGTAACTTGTTCACGACAGTCTGCGTACTGAGAGCATTATTCTCATGGTAGTCACCAAAGTTGTCCACCGCAAACAGATATTTCTTTCTTTCGTGGGTTATGATATCAAAAGCGACTTTCTGCCAACTCCTCTCCGTGAATTAGTGGGGCATCGTCTTTTGTTTCGGCTAGCACACGTCATGTGTTCTGCAAGCTACGCAGTTTGTTACATGATCGCATATGTGACTGGTCGTTCTTGTCCAGAACATCAGTTCTCGTTCTCTTGACACACACTTGTTGCTTTTCAGGTACGCGCATTGGATGAGCTCCATCATGGAATAACCCATTGGTCAGCTTCGCTCTAACGACCACCAGCTGTGCGCCGTAATGGCGCTTCGCTGCCACGCGACCACCACCAGTCGCGTCTGGGCTGAGTATACCGCGAGGACGCCCGCTCCTACGCGGATTCGAACCGGCGATCTCATGGTTGCAAACCAGGCGCGCATACCACTCGGCCACCGGCCAAGCTCTAACGACCAACTACTACCGCACACTTTATGACCAGTTTCGTACTTTTTTGCATCCGTCATGCAAGGATAGCAGGACTGCATCTCGAGTCCGGAACGTTGGGATGTTAGCAGAAGTCTCTAACCTGGGCAACGTTTGTCACAACAGTTAGATGCTCACTGAACAGTCATTCCGGTCTCATTGATCGCATCGACTGAGATTCGCATCGGGAACCGCGGTTCTGATTGGAATTACTTGTCTCGATCCATTCGTCGACACGTAATCTTAAGAATCACAAGCCTGCATTGTAATCCGATGGCGCGGGTTCGAGCCTGCGTAGGGGACCGGGCGACCCTCGCAGTATCCTTAGCCCACGCGCAACTGGTGGTGGTTGCGCGGCAGCGAAACGTCGGTACTGCGTACCGGCGTACTGCTGATGCACAGCGGGTACTTCAAAATGGCTTCTTCAAGCAGTTATTAGCCATTGTGACAAGCGTTTTCCTCCACGACTGAGTGGCTTTGGGTAGGAGCTTTAGCTGACATCCATAAGAACCCGGGTTCTAATCGTAGTTTTGTTCTTTTTACCTGACGGGTGCAAATAATTTCAAAAGTGGTCTTGGAGTGCAATGTTACTGGCGGCCAACATCTGACATTCATGTTCAAGCTGAATTTTCTAGACAGTAAAAATAGCGAATGACACTACTCATACACTGCGTGAGATAGTGGTCGTTGGGCCTTGTCTGGACGTCGCGCAGTACTCACCAGTACCTATGAATAGAATTAAAAGGAGTCGGACGTGGACACCCGCAAACCTAGCTGTCGGTTAACTGTTGGGCAGTGGCTTATCTTCCAGACGAGTTTTCGGAATCTCGTATTCAGGTCCCCGTGCGAGTTCATGCTCCTGGTTTACTTCCTTCCGTTTGTAGTGAATCAGTGGATACGCAGTTGCTATACTCAAGACGTCTTATCTGCTTTTTAACTCTGATCTCGGGGTATGACGTTCAAACGATTTTGGGCGGATAGTGGAGGCTTCTTTTTGATAACTGTGTGAGAACCTTATTTGCATGTTCTACGACGTAAATCCTGCATCTGGGAATTCGGTTGCATTTGTTTATTGGGTATCTACCAATCTGTAGGTTGCAAACTACATGTGTCTGTTTATGGGTCGTGAGAAAGAGAGAGCATGGGTTGAGAATGGCTCACCTAGTGTTAACGGTTGGATGTTCTTTTGCCTGAGCTTTTATGTGGTCCGGGGTGCACCAATAAAAGCACCTGACGAGGTAGAGAGAAATGCGTCGTTTACCGGTACCTTCCATGGGGACCACGATGGACCCTATCACAAGACTATATGATTGCGAGCATTCCCGGACCCGAGTTGCAGGCGGCTTAAAGCTAGATCATTCTAACGGTCTGAGGTCTCGTGTATTCACATAGCTCTGAAGGCACTGCTCTTTTGGTTTACGGAACTCTGAGAATCTAGACGGGAATACGCATCTCACTCGATCTAGGATCGAGTTTTCAAAACCGCCAACCGCGAATGATTACCAAGTCCAGTGACTGAATTTTAACAGAAATCACCCTATTTCAAGATCATCTGATCTCCAATAACACCGTTTCAGAACCAATCAGTTACGCACCTATGATGAGCTAAAAGATTCGGGTTCGTTGTTGAATAATACGTGTTCATTAAGGTTTAGTGTGATCACGTAAGTCGGTGATTGATGCAACGCAGTGACAAGGAATCATGTAAGCAATTGCACCAAGTTTTTTTGGTGTATCCTTTCTACATTTAGGGGATCAACATGCGCTGTTGTCACTTATTCCTGTGTAACGGGGTGAGAAGTATTCCCGTTTTTGGCTTGCCGCCGGCCTTGCGTGGCCTCACGTTTGGGCGACAGAATGGGGTTCAGTGCCAACAGCAAACTAAAGGACAAATTTATAAATCATTTTATTCTACAGTTAGCCAAGCTATTCGTTGCACCTATACGAAACCAGTTTGGCTACAACTATTGTTGATGTACGCAAACTGGCTTCGGCACATCTCCCGCAGTCTGTTTTCCATTACCGAGTCCATCATGCCCTGCTCTACATTGGACATATTCTACCTCATTTCTAAAGATATATTTCCTTCTTAAGTAGAAAGTCATTACGTTTGGCACCTCTCTTGATGTCTTGTAGATAGCTGATGTATACCCGGCCAGACTGCTGCGCATTGTAAAGTACATATCCTGGACGTATCCGAAAACCGTTTGCGGTCCTTGTTACTTTACTGAAATAGCGTTTCGTTAGTAGATGCATCTCGATTCTGCTCCCACCTTGTTTGCATCAGCTGGTTCCTAACTGATGCCTGCTCGGTCATTGATTTAATAAATATTCTCTAAACCTCTTCTAAGACTTTGTTACCAGACTCCTTGAAACTGCCACGAACCGTATCGCGGCATCCCGATTTTTTCGCGGACCTGTCTCCACAATCGCCAGGTAAGTAGTGGGCCATGGAAAATTTTCCTAACTGCCAGTTCGATTCTTTTATCCAGCTGTCGCCTGATCACAAGAATGCAACCGACTCAGCAATCTAGGTCCTCACTGACTCCTCGGTCACGACGAATCAACGTAAGTTAAAGTACACGCGAGAATAATCAGAATGGAGTCTGAGATATCAGAATGACAGGGTAGAGTAATATATAAACTTAGCGACTGAGCCAAGTTCACCATTGGTTCATGAACGGCGCTATGCTAGCCAGCGTTTCTTGCCGTTTATACCGTATTTCCGGTGACCAGCCCGATGTTTGGTTAGTTGCTTCGCTCTTCCTTGCAAACTTGTCACCTGATCACCGCAATGCCTCGCTCGTTTTTGGTAGGCACGCAGAGAAGTACAGTCAGCAAGCTTTCAGAGGGCCGATCTTTGGTAACACGTCCCTATTAACTCGTTCGTAGGCTGATTACACATACCTCATTTTGATGTCCCAAAACGTGGAGTACCGTAGTCGTGGTCAGCTATATGTAACAGGCATGTGATCTGAACACCCTCAGAGGGCCGCATGAGTCACACTCGTTGTCGTGTGGGTAACAGACAACAGTTATATATATGCAGTTATTTATATAAGTCAACCCTGTCCCGCTAGTGGTGTCGTTCATGGGAACGTATTGGGTCCATTTCTTTTCCTCATTTACAGATGATCTAAATGGGTGTCCATTTCTATTTGTGGACGACATTACAATCTTTACTTTTTTCCACCTGACCATATGGAGCTATGCATAAAATATATATGCGATCTAGCATCCCTGAACAAATACTGTTACAGGTATCCACATCCCAACCGCGTACTCCGACTCCTGGGAATTCGATAATCCTAGCTAACTCGACTTCTCCGAATACCTGTTATATCAAGTAGCGAAGGTGAACAACTAACAAGTTGCATCAACAAAGCATTTTCACTATTCCAAACACGGCTTTAATCACTCCAACTCAGTGCGACCCACGTTAGGGTACTGCACCATCATACATAGCCAGCGACTCAAGACAGATAGGTTTTCTTTGGAAAACATCCAGCGCTCATTTGCCACAATGATCATGGGACGTTCACCAAC